TAATAAAAAATGAAGGACATAATGATGTGGGAACATCATTATGAAGAGACAAATGATTATGTTTGTTGAAAAGAAAAAGAAAGGTCATGATGATGTTTGTAAAGGAATGATTATTCCTTTACTTTGGATTTTTTATTGGGTGCTCTTGTATGGATGAAGGTTGCAGCCGAATGAGAAAGAGAGGTAGAGTACACCATTTCTGTTTTAGTAGCCCATCTTTGAGAGAGCAAAGGTAGCTGCAGAGAGCAGAAAACTGAGAGCAGAAAAAGAAGAAGAAGGTGCTCTTCTCTTTGGTTAGTAATCACCCACCAAGGTAGTTGTTGTTGTAATAGTTTTGAGCTTTGTATAGAGAAGAAATTAATCACTATATTTCTTTCTCTATTTGTTTCTTTAGTGTGTGAGAGCTATTGGTTGTATTGGGGTTTTGGGTTGTGAGCTTGTCAACACTTTGTAAACTCCCATTTGGTTGATAGTGGATTATTGGGTGAGCTCCTACTGCTCCAAAGACGTACTCCAGTTAAACTGACTGTTGAGGAACCTCGTTAAAATCTTGGTGTCTTTTATATTTTGTTCTTGCATTCCATTTGATATATTTCATGTGGGTTAGCTTGAGTTGGTTCCAACGGGTTTGGTATTATCCTAGCACAACAGTTGGTCAGGGAATTTATTTTAGTTCCTATCCCCTTGGCTGTTTGCAAAGCAAAGCACAGATGATTCATGTATTATTTAGTTTTTGTGTTGGGTTGCGCATGCTTTCAAAAATATATGAATTTGTGCGTTTATGGTTATGAAAATGAGGGCTGCAGACCCTCATCCTTCACATTTTAGTTTCTCTTTATGCTTCTCCCTTTTGGGATTTTGTGGAACCAAATTTGTAATTTTTGTGTATTATGAAAGTTGAATATGTGGGAATCAATCAGTTCTTCATTTTTCGTGTATATGGAGAATGCTGTTTTCTACACTTTTATGGTTTGATAAAATATATCGTTTGACCAAAAATAAAAAAAATAAAAAAACTTAAAGGGTGAGAATTTATGGTACTTTCCTTGGTGAGGGGTTGGTATCGAATTTCTGGGTTTAAAGCGGATCGATTTTTTTATTTAGGTTTAATATGGGGAATAAATGAAAGGCGAATTTAGCCTTTTTCGAGTATTTCATCAGCAAGGAACAAAATGCCTATAATATCGGCGATATATCGCCGATATTATCGGTTTTTCGCCGGACCGATATTTTAATAGGTATCCAAGGGGTTTTCGTCAAAATATCATGATATTATCGCGAAATTTCAGAACTGTGCAAGTCGGAGACGAACACCGGAGCTTTTACAGCTCCGGCCGACTGTAAAACAGCCCCCTAGACTCCGATCTAGGTATGAAAATGAAATAGAAGACGAGAGGAACGTTTTTATAACGTCCGTTTGCCGTGAAACGGTCGGAGGTGTTCGGAAAGTTCGTCGACACCCACAGCCTCGCCGGAGATGGGTGTGCCTATTCCCGAGCCGATTTCATCCCAAAAACCTTGCAAAAACACGAGATAGAACTTCAATTTCACATCTAAGCTTTGATCTAGAATAGAAAAAGAAAAACCCGAAGCTTACCTAACCGGAGAAATTGAAGGAACTCGCCGGAGCAGGTGCGATGGTGTGCGTGTGGGTCTCGGTGCAGAGAGAAATGAGAGGTGTATGTGGGTCTCGGTGCAGAGAGAAAGGAGAGGGAGGAGCAGAAGGGCGTGGTGTGTGTGTAGGTCTCGGTGCAGAGAGAAAGGAGAGATGTATGTGGGTCTCGGTGCAAAGAGAAATGAGAGGGAAGAGCAAAAGGCCGTGGTGTGTGTGTGGGAGAAGGGAGAAGAGAGATCGAGAGATCTCTGTGTGTGTGTGTGGGAGTGGAGAATGGAGAGAATAGAGAAGGATCGAGAGAGAGAGACAGAGGTCTCTGTGTGTATGCGTGTGTGATGTTTGTGTGCGTGCGTTGTGTGCGTGTGTGGTTGCGTGCGTTGTGTGTGTGTGTGGGGTTCCTCCTGTTAGGAAGACACATGACTCACTCAGGATTCTTGACAACTTTTACAATTTTTTGACAATTAGACCACTTTTGACAATTCACAATTGTACAATTTCAGACCATGGATGGTGGTTTCATTCAAAACCGTGTGTCATTGTGATATTCTTTCAAGAGGTGGAGTATCATACTCATTCAAAGCATTTTCGTTTCTTCTTCTTCCCTTACCCCTTTCAAAGCTGCCATTGTGATATTCTTTAAAGAGGTGGAGTATCAGAGCCATTCAGAGCATTTTCATTTCTTCTTCTTCCCTTACCCCTTTCAAAGCCATTCCAAATCCATTCCAGAGCTTGAACACAAAGGGTTCCATATTTAAAGTAAGTTTACAAACTTATATTTATATTATTGTAATTTATACAACAACAAAAAAATTTGTGTAGACTCGTATGTTAATTTTTTTAATTTACTTGCATGTTAGTTTTTGTAAGTAATTAAGTAATGTTAACAATTACATGTTAATTTTTTAAGTAATTAATTTGTAAGTAATTAAGTAATGTTAACAATTACATGTTAATTTTTTTAAGTAATTAAATAATGTTGTATAATTATTCCCTAGGATAATTTTAATATGTTTAATGTTATTTATTATTTTATTAATATTAGGTTTTATTATCAAATTAGATTATTATTCATTAATATTAGGTTTTTTTTATTATCAAATTGGATTATTCATTAAATTGGATTATTATCATCAAATTAATGTTTTATCACTATATTAGGATTATTTTTTATAAATTGGATTATTATTCATTAATATTAGATTTTATTATTCCATATTATTTTTATAATTACTTAAATTTTTACAATCATTTCTTTACTTCGTATTTAATTCTTCTGTAGAATAACTTTATTATTTAGGTTCTCTTATATAACCGCCATCACTACTATATTTTTTGGCCAAAAAATAATTGTCTAATTTTCATGAAAAATAAATATAGGTACGTTTAAGATGTCCAGTGGAGTTATTAAACGTGATTCAGCTTGGGAACATGGAGACCCAATAGACGGAAACAAACATGGCACAATTTGCAAATATTGGGGTCGGGTAATGAAGAGTGGCCGAGTGACACGACTTAAGCACCATCTTAGTGGATTAGATCCAGCAAAAAATGTCCAACGATGCGATAATGTCCCCCCAGAAGTGAAGACATTCATCAGCACATTATTAAAAAAATAAAAAACAGCAGAAGGAAAAGATAACACATGGAATGGAAAATATTCGAGCTGGGCTACGGGGAGAAGTCTATGGCTAAGCGGTTGACAGTGATGATGATGACGATGAGGACGAATGTGATGATGACATGGGACCTGAAGAACGACGCAGTTTGAAACAAGCATTACGTGCCTCCAAACAGTCAGCATGGGAAAGAGAACACCTTCATAAAATTCCTAATAGAGCACAAGGTTCCGGGACAAGTGGTGGTGCACAAATGAGACGGGGATGCAGTCTTAGAGAATCACAACCAACACCACCAATAGCCCCAAGTTTATATAAGTCATCCAAAGCACGTCAAAAGAGTGTTTGGAGTTATTTTACTGGAGGTAATGTGAAGGAGGGAATGGGGCGTCTAATTAGCAAGTTCTTTATCTATGAAAATGTCCTTGCTGAGAAAGCATCATCACATCATTTCAAAAATATGGTAGTGGGATGTCAACAGGCCGGTGTTGGAGTACAACCTCCCACACCCTATGAGATAAGAAACAAATATTTGGATATGGAGTATACAGACATTGGCGAGTATGTTAACAAGTTGAGGTCAAAGTGGGAAACTAATGGTTGCACAATCATGTGTGAAGGATGGACCAGCCCGACCAGATTGTCTATCATAAACTTCATGGTATACTCCAAGGGAAAGACAATTTTTTTGAAGTCTGTTGATGCTTCAGACCATATAAAGAACTACAAGTATATACAAATTATTGAGGGATGTAATCATAGAGGTGGGAGAGCATAATGTTGTCTAAGTCGTGACCGACAACGGTTCTGCATTTGTCAAAGCTGGAAAAAAGTTAATGAAGCATCATAATGTGTTTTGGACATCATGTGCAGCACATTGTATTGATCTCATGTTTGAGGCAATGGGGAAGAGAGAGAATGTTGCTACTGTGGTAAAAAGAGCTAGAACGATCACAAATTATATTTATAATCACAGTTGTTTGTTGGCAAAGATGCGTGAATTTTGCAAAGGAGAAATTATTCGTCTAGCTACCACTCGATTCGCCACCAACTATATTGCATTAGACAGCATACTTAAGAAGAAAGCAGGGTTGAAGCAACTATTCACTAGTGACAATTGGCCCAACCACAATTTAAGCCGCTCAAATGCAGGTCGTATGGTGGAAAGTATAGTGCTTGATCATGCTTTTTGGACTCAATCAGAACATGTGTGCCAAATGTTTGAACCTCTTTACAAAGTTTTACGGATCGTTGACACAGAAGTGTATCCTACTATTAGCAATTGCACCAAATTAGAAGTTTTATCTGTCGGCCTCAATAATTTTGGAGGAGTGCTGCCTGAATCTATCAGCAATCTCTCAACAAAGCTCAGGAAAATAAATTTTCATGACAATCAAATACGCGGAAACATTCCCAACGGGGTTGGAAATCTCATCAACTTGGAGAGACTGGGCTTTTCAACAAATTTATTGGCAGGCACTATACCGAATTCAATAGGTAAATTGAATAAGCTTTATTAAATATATCTACATTTAAATGAATTGTCAGGTAATGCTCCATCATCTCTAGGAAATCTCACTTCATTAAGCAATTTGTATCTCCAATCAAACCAGTTAAATGGAAGCATACCACAAAGTCTCGGAGACTGCAGGTTTATGATATATTTGGATCTTTCCCATAACAATCTTAGCGGTCCAATTCCAAAACAAGTAATCAATTTACCTATTTACTTGAATTTATCTGGAAACCAACTTACTGAATCTATTCCCATGGAAGTAGGCAACTTACAGCTTCTTGCTTTCTTGGATGTTTCTGAAAACAAGCTATCTGGTGAGATTCCACAAAGCTTAGGGAGTTGCACAAGTTTGACGACTCTGTCCCTGAGAGAAAATTTATTGCAGGGGACAATTCCTAAATCCTTGAGCTCTTTGAGAGGAATTGAAGATTTTGACCTCTCTCGCAACAACTTGTCTGGCATAATTCCTAACTACTTGGGGAGTTTCCCCTTCTTGCAGAATTTGAACCTTTCATTTAACGATTTTGAAGGTGCAGTACCAATCCAAGGAGTTTTTAAGAATGCAAGTGTGGTATCTGTTGTGGGAAACACACGGCTTTGTGGAGGTATACCTCACTTAAGATTGCCTAAATGCATCTCCAAGCAATCTAAGCGTGGGTTATCTCCTAAGCTGAACTTAATTATCTCAGTTTCTTGTGGGGTTGTCGGCGTGGTCTTGGTGTTGTTAGTTGCCCTTCTTTATCGATCAAGAAAGGCTAGAGAGCTTAAGTCAACTTCAGGATCATCACTGGGGGTTTCACTCTTGAAACTGTCCTATGGAGATCTCCTCAAAGCAACTGATGGGTTCTCTGCTTCGAATCTGATTGGTTTTGGAAGTTTCGGGTCCGTGTACAAGGGAGTTCTCAATCAGCATGAAGAAAGAAATGTTGCGATGAAAGTACTCAATCTTCAAACTTCAAGAGCTTCTAAAAGTTTCATATCTGAATGTGAAGCCTTGAAAAGCATTAGGCATCGAAATCTTGTCAAGCTGCTGACTGCTTGTTCAAGCATTGATTTTCAAGGAAACGATTTCAAAGCCCTGGTGTATGAGTTCATGGTGAATGGAAGCCTAGATGAGTCATTGCACATATCAGCTCAAGGAGTAGATAGGCCAGCCAATCTGCCAAAGAATCTGAATCTCACTCAAAGAGTTAACATTGCCATCGATGTAGCATGCGCTCTGGATTATTTGCATAACCACTCCCACATGCCAATAGTTCATTGTGATATAAAGCCCAACAACATTTTGTTAGACAGTGACATGACTGCTTGTGTTGGTGATTTTGGTTTAGCAAGGTACCTCCGGGATGCTTCTTGCCCATCTCCTTTGCACGATAGCAGTTCCAATGTCATAAAAGGCACCATAGGCTATACTCCCCCAGGTAAATTTTCTTTTGTATATATTTTATTTGTGCTTCCAGTATGGTTTTGTATATAGCAGCATGAGTTTTTTTGAAGTCACATATAAGAACAAAGCTATGTTTTTGTGTGCATATAACTTAAAGATATGGAATGGGAGGCGAGCTGTCAACATATGGCGATGTGTATAGCTACGGAATACTGTTGTTGGAGATGTTAACTGGCAAGATGCCGACAGATGACATGTTTTAAAGGTGGTATGGACCTGCACAATTTTGTTATAACGGCTCTACCAGACCACGAACATGTGGAAGAAATATATTAATCAAAAGCCAGAAGTAACAAGGGGAATCATAGCCCAAATGATCAAAGAAAAAGGGTTGTGGGGTGCTTGACTTCCATTGCAAGAGTGGGAGTGGCTTGTTCTGTAGCGATGCCGAGGGAGCGAAAAGACATGAGCAATGTGGTCGCTGAATTGAGTCTAATAAGGGACATGCTAATTGGAATCAGATGCCAAGTGAGCTTCTCTGATCAAGGCCCATGTAGTGAGAAATAATAGCCTGTCATCATTATTTCAACTGCCATGAAACTTGGACAGTAGTTTGCGTGGAGTGGTCTGTCGGTTTTTATATTTTTGCAGTTGCTTTTATTGTATGATTTGTGAATGATCTTTGTGTAAGATCATCTTTGCGCTTGCTTGGATGTCTATTTAAGTTTAGTGTTCTGTCTGTTTAATATTTTGCGTTACTAAGTTTGTGTTTGTCCAGTCTTCAAATTTGTCAATCTTTCTTACTTTGTTGTTTACATTGATTGTTTACACACTTGTTATTGTAGTATATACCAGCAATTGAACCTGCGCGATGCCGTAGGTTTTTAATTGTGTTATGTTGTAGAAAAAATCCATTTACATCCATATCAAACTCTATTTACATCCTTATGTTCATTAAGGAATAAAAGATAGGTGTTTACAGAACACATTACATAGCTAAAAAAGTTGGAGACTAAGCTGTTCATATAGATATAAGGGTAAAAGACTGTTTACCACCCTCATGTTTCGTGGTTTTCAACATTTAGTACATCAAGTTTTTTTCGTCCCAGAATCATACCTAAAGTGTAAATTTTGGGACAGTCTCATACATCTGTTAGTCAAACGGTTAGTTCTCCCGTTAAGTGATGACGTGGCGCTCTGATTGTACGCCACGTGTCATTAAAAAAATAAAAAAATTATTTAAATAAAAATAATTTTAAAAAATATTTAAATAAATATTAAAATAATAAAATATTAAAATAATAATAAAATAATTTTTTTTTCTTCTTCTCTTCTTCTTCTTCTTCTTCTTCTTCTTCTTCTTCTTCTTCTTCTTCTTCTTCTGGGTTCGGTTTCTTTTTTTTTTTTTTTTCTTTTTTTTTTTTTTTTCCTCCTCCTCCTCCTCCTCCTTCTTCTTCCTTCTTCTTCTCCTTCTTCTTCTTCTTCTGGGTTCGGTTTCTCTCTTTTTTTTTTTTTTTTTTTTCTTCTTCTTCTTCCTTCTTCCTTCTTCTTCTTCTTCTTCTTCTTCTTCTTCTTTCTTTTTTTTCTTTCCTTCCTCCTTCTTCCTTCTCCTTCTCCTTCCTCTTCTTTCTCTTCTCCTTCTTCCTTCTTCCTTCCTTCCTTCATTCTTCTTCTCCTTCTTCTTCCTTCTTCTTCCTCTTCTTTTCTGGGTTCGGTTTTTTTTTTTTTTTTTTTTTTTTTCTGTTTTTTTCCTTCTCCTCCTTCCTTCTTAAGAAGGAGAAGAAGAATGAGGAGGAAGGAGAAGGAAGAAGAAGAAGGAGGAGGAAGGAGAAGGAAGAAGAAGGAGAAGGAGGAGGAAGAAGAAAAAAAGAAAAGAAAAGAGAGAACCGAACCCAGAAGAAGAAGAAGAAGAAGAAAAAAAAAAAAAAAAAGAAGAAGAAGAAGAAGAGAAGGAAATTTTTTTTTATTATTTAAATATTTATTTAAATATTTTTTAATATTTTTTTATTTAAATAAATTTTTTATTTTTTTAATAACACGTGGCGTCCAATCAGGGCGCCACGTCATCACTTAACGGGAGAACTAACCGTTTGACTAACAGATGTATGAGACTGTCCCAAAATTTACACTTTAGGTATGACTCTGAGACGAAAAAAACTTGATGTACTAAATGTTGAAAACCACGAAACATGAGGGTGGTAAACAGTCTTTTACCCTAGATATAATACACACCAAAATATTTTTGCTTTTCATGTCCCAACTTTCAGATTGTTCCTCAGGACTTCACTCTTCTTTCTTCATCGTTGCCAAAAAGATGTTCTTCTGGCCGAGTCCGTTAAAATATCGTGTGAATGTAATTGAAACCTGAGACAACAGATAGATAGCTAGGAAGAAAGAAAAACACATGCATGAAGAAAACTTTTAATTTTAGACATACACCAACCTACATTCTTACACAATTCTTCCCGTTTTCCCAAATCTTTCCAGACATCAATGAAAACAAAACTGTTCGTAGCAATGAAAACGTAATTTCTACTAATTGCATCCATACAAAAGCTGACAACCCAATGAGGCAGCATTAAGTTACAATGCTTGATCTTCTAATGGAACATTGTTAAAAATTCAAGCACTTGAGCATCTTTTGAGTTTAATTACTACTACTTAAACATGCAAAAATTGGCTAGACTTTTTTTAATTAACACATCCGTAAGATAGCTAATTCTAATTAGTCTCATGACGAGCAAATAGGTGAATTTGGATTGGCAGTTCTTGAAAGAATTTAAGCTAGGGTTGGAAACATAAATGGTATAAGCTCAACTCAATTAATTATGAGTGAGGTATGGACTTCATTATATAGAGATTACAAGATGAGGTTGGTTACAATATAAACTTATCATCTGTTTACATTTGAATTCAAAACTAAGTTATACAGGAATTGGAGATAATGACGAATTGTGATCCCTTGCTATCTGTTGAAGAGGTTGAAGAGTATTCAACTTGTGTAGCTGACTTGGACGTGGAGAGTCCTTTTCCATGCATTGCTGACGTGGAGAAAGATACTGAATATTTGGTTTATCACGCCCCCGCAAGCTGAGTGGGCGGGGACGAACAGGAAGCTTGGAAATGAGATAACTGAACCGAGCGGGGGACAAGCCTTTTGTTAAGAGATCGGCAAGTTGGTCAGCGGATGAAACATAACCCACAACAAGTTCATTGCGCGTGACTTTTTCTCGAACATAATGATAATCAACTTCCACATGATGCATACAAGCCTGATAAACTGGATTGGAAGCTACGGCTAGGGCACTGATATTATCACACCATAATTTGGGGGGATTGAGAGGGAGACGAAGATCACGGAACATTTGTCTGAACCAAGATAAAGTGGCAGAGGTATAGGCCATTTGTCGATACTCAGCCTCTGTACTGGAGCGAGACACACCACGTTGCTTTTTAGAACTCCAAGAGATTAAGTTATCCCCGAGAAATATGCAATGACCACCAGTGGAGCGACGATCATCGGGGTCACCAGCATAGTCGGCATTGGCAAAGGCTGTTAAGGACAAAGAACTGGGTTGATAAACAATACCGCGATCATGAGTAGCTTTCAAATAGCGAAGAATGCGCTTGACGGCAGCCCAATGTGTAGTAGTGGGGGAATGCATATACTGACAGACTTGATTCACAGCGAAAGCAATGTCAGGCCGTGTGAATAAGAGATATTGGAGAGCCCCAACAACGCTTCGAAAAGTGGTTCCATCATCCAATGGCTCACCCTCATACAAACTAAGCTTGCGGCCAGGAAGGGCTGGAGTAGACAAGGGTTTGGCGTCAGTCATCTTAGTGCGTTGGAGAAGGTCCAGGATATATTTTGACTGTGTTAAATACATGGCCGTCTGTGTTCGCGTGATTTCCATTCCCAAGAAATAATGTAAGGGACCAAGGTCCTTCATGGAAAATTTCTGACCCAATTGGTGAATCAAGGTGGAGATGCTGGAAGGATCATTACCTGTGACAAGAATGTCATCAACGTAGATGAGTAAGTAAATGACAGTGGTTCCATTGAAGAAGATGAACAGCGAAGAATCGGCCATGGAGGCTTGAAAGCCGAGTTCCTCCAAATGGTGAGAGAAGCACTGAAACCAGGCACGGGGAGCCTGTTTTAAGCCGTATAAGGACCGGCGAAGACGACATACATGGGATGGAAACTGTGGATCAACAAAGCCAGAAGGTTGGCGCATGTAAACTTCTTCAGTTAAAGAGCCGTGGAGAAACGCGTTTTTGAGAATAAGCCGGATGGTAGCATGAGTGACGACAGGGCTAAACGTCTCACTGTAGTCAAGCCCTTCTTGTTGATGAAAACCATTGGCAACAAGACGTGCTTTAAATCTTTCAATGGAACCGTCAGATTTCCGTTTAACACGGTAGACCCATTTATTTGGGAGAACATTCATGGAGGGATGAAAAGGAACCAGGGACCACGTGCCTGTGCTTTGCAGAGCATTGAACTCGTCGGCCATTGCCATACGCCATTCAGGGGATTTATTTGCCTGTGTAAAACAAGTAGGCTCAACTATGTCAATAGTCACAGCAGAAACAATAGCATATTTGGGATTCGGTTTTTGGATGCCATCCTTTGAACGTGTAACCATGGAGTGAACAGGTGAAAGCTGTCTCTGAGAGGAAGATGAGACAGGAGTAACACTTACTTCATTCGTAGAGGAGAGGATGGGGGAAGGGTCAGAGAGAGAGGGTATAGGGGAGATGGGTTGGTGCGGATTTGGTGGGAAAGTAGGGGGAATAGGGTTAGGTGGTGTGGATGGAATAGGGGGAGGCATGGGATGGTGTGGATGGTGTGGTAACGTACAGGGAATAGGGTTAGGGTTTGGTGGGGTGGATGATGTGGTGGGATAGATGGACGGATGGGGGTTTGGGGTTACAGTAGGGGTAATAGGGTTCCTAGAGGGATATTGTAAAGGAGAGGGATCAATGTTCAATACCGTAGATAATTGGGAGGATGAAGGTGTTGTAGAAATGGATTCTTTGTATGGGAAAGTGGTTTCATCAAATAAGACATGACGTGACAAAAA